ATTGATCCTATTTGTCCACTGTGACATATAATGGACGATATGTTCCTATCAAATGTGGTTGAATGTATGATAGATGTTACAATAGTATAAGAGGTTTGAAGTATTTTTTTGTTATAGGGGTTGAAGAGTTTGTCATAACATCTCGACAATGTGAGTATATGAATGTGATGGAGGGATTCAATGTCCATGAGCTAAATACGATTTTACAAGAATTTTGAAGGACGAAATTGTTGAGTATTATTTTAGAGAGAATAATATGTGATAGTGAGTATCTTCCTATAATTGTATCATTACGAGATTCGATACGAGTTAGTTATACTACATTTGTTTAACAACTTATTTATTATTTTTGATCAATATTTTATACTACCAAAATGTTGTTATCAAATACAAATACCAAACGGTTTTTTAATCCCCTTCTTTCATAATACTTAACAAAATAAAGTCAGTAAATAAATCCCTATAACATAAATACAAAAATAATTTTGCAGCTTTGAATTACCTATGCTAATGTGAAAATTTGGATGTAATATTACTTTATCATAAATTAGTAATTTTGAATAAACAAATATACAAATTCCAATTATTATATCTTTATTTTTTTTCAGATAAATATCTTATCGTAGTCTACTGATTAAACTTATTTGTTCTATTTTCTTTCTTAGGAAAACTCAAGATGATTAAATATTAGAACTTCTAACTTTGTATTACTTAATGTTTTTAAAATCAGAATGTTCGTTGAACCGTTAAACTCATTCGTTTAAAATTTAAAGCCTCAACCAGACTTTAACTAAAATTTAACTAAAAGTAATAAAATAATATTTTTATAATAAAAAATATATAATAAATATTCATTGGTAATAATCTTATTTTATAAAAAAAATTAATAAAAATTATTATTATGATGATATAATGAATGTTATAAATATAAAATATATTAGAATATATAAAATATATAATATGAGATAAAAAAATATATTGTATTTTTTTATAAAAAAACTATATTTAAAAAGGTTTTGATCGTTATTTTTTTTATTAAAACTCATTTGACCAAAAAATTTAACAAATTTTAAATTAAAAATATATAATTTTAAATTTTCCTGAGTCTATGTGTTCCACAGTTTTTTTTTTCTCTATAATCCAGAGGACTTTACTGATGATTTTTGTTTGTATATCTCTTTGATATATATGAAAAAAGAAAACAAGATCAATTTTGGAAAGAGATAATCAGTCGCATGTTAGGTTATCTAATAAGATCGAAATTGAGTTTCACCATCCAACACTTTTTAGGATATTAAAAAGCCCTAACACTATTCATGACGATTCATGTTTCAGTGTTGCAGGTAAGACGTGCATTAAGTTGTGAGATTTACACACTTACCTACACATAAATACATAAGACGTGCAAAGTCATCAAAACAGTCCGATCTGACAGAGGAGGCGAGTTCACTTCTGCTGAGTTTAACAAATATTGCGAAGAGCATGTGATCAAACATTTCTTGACTGTCCCATATTCTCTACAGCAAAACGGTGTAACGGAACGAAAGAACCGAACCATTCTCGATATGGTTCGATCTATGTTGAAAGGGAAGAATATGTCGAAGAAGTTTTGGGCAGAGGTGGTGTAGTGCGTAGTCTATGTGCAAAATAGATGTCCACATGCAAAGCTAGGTGAGAAGACACCTCAGGAGATCTGGAGTGGTATGAAGTCGAGTATCTCTCTCTGAAGGTGTTCGGTAGCGTGACCTATGGACAAGTACCAAGTCAGCACAGGACAAAATTAGAAGATCGGAGCAAGAAATACATATTTATCGGGTATGATGAAAAATCTAAAACATATAAATTGTTTGATCTTGTCAATAATAAAGCGGTGGTAAGCCGAGATGTTCATGTGGAGGAAACAAAGCAATGGTGCTGGAGTAACACGGCCAAAGAAGAAACTAACTCAGAAATTGTTGTGCCTTCAACAACAACAACTACCGAGTCCTCAGATAAAGAAATAGAGCCACAACAGCCCAGGATGAGAAGTCTGCAGGAAATATACGACATTAAAAATTAAGTTCATGTTGTATGTCTCCTAGCTGACTCTGAAGACTTGAGTTTTGAGAAAGTTGTCCAAGATGAAAAGTGGAGAATAACCATGGATGAGGAGATTGGAACGATTGAACGCAACAAAACTTGGGAGTTGACTGACCTTCCTGAAGGAGTTTGACCCATTGGAGTAAAATGGGTGTACAAAAAGAAGATGAATGTTGAGGGAGAGGTTGATCGTTATAAGGCTCAATTTGTGGGGAAGGACTATAGACAAAAAGAGGGAATCGACTATGATGAAGTATTTACTTCTGTCACGAGAATAGAGTCAATTCGACTTCTGATCTCATTAGTTGCTCAGAACCAATGGCCGATTCTACAAATGGATGTGAAGTCGACCTTTCTAAATGGAGTGCTGAAGGAGGAGGTGTACGTCGAGCAACCACTTGGGTACATGAAGAGAGGGATGAGAAGAAGGTGTTGAGATTAAGAAAAGCCATCTATGGGCTGAAGCAGACTCCTCGTGCCTGGAATGAGAGAATTGACTGGTATTTCTAGAAAAATGGGTATGGGCAATGTCCATATGAGCATGTCTTGTATACAAAAAAATCAGAAAAGGACATGATGGTAGTTGCTCTCTATGTCAACGACCTCATATTCACTGGAAGCAACACAAAGTTGATTAAGGAGTTCAATGAGGTAATGAAGAAAGAGTTCGAAATGACAGACTTAGGCCTGATGAAATATTTTCTTGGCCTAGAAGTGAAGCAGCTAGAGGAAGGGATTTTTATATCCCTAGAGAGGTACGCGCTTGAAATTTTAAAGAAGTTTAAAATGGAGGACTGTAACCCGGTTTCTACTCCAATGGAACCGGGCACTAAATTCTCAAAGTTTGATGGAGGAGAATGAACTGATTTTGGGAGATATCGAAGCTTAATTGGAAGTCTGAGGTACCTTAAAAGCACGAAACCTGACCTATTGATGAGTGTTGGGATAACGAGCAGATACATGGAGAATCCAAGCTACACACATTGGAACACCTTGAAGAAAATTCTGAGATATGTTCGAGGAACCCTATCACTTGGTCTTTTCTATTCAAAATTGGATGACTACCTATTAGTGGATTACTCGGATAGTGATTGGTGTGGTGATGTTTCAAATCAACTAAGGCATCTGGGAGTGATCCGAGACGAAGGGACTGTAATTCGAGTTGACAATAAATCAACGATCGAATTGGCAAAGAACCCGGTGAATCACGAAAGGAGCAAGCACATCGACGTCCAATTTCATTTTATTCGAGAACAAGTCAGCGAAGAAAAGGTTGAGCTGGAGCATGTTAAAAGTTGAGCTCAAGCTGCGGATGTATTCCCCAAGCCATTACCGACCACACAGCTGGAGAGTTGTAAAAGACTTATTGGAACGAGAGATGAGAAAAGTATTTAAATTAGTCATTTGGTATTCCTATAATAGTATTAATGATTTTAGGCAAGAGTTGCATAACCAAGAAATATGGGGAAATAAACCTATTTAATAGGTATCATGATTTACTTTTAGCATTTGAAGAAACAAACAATTTGCACTTGTAACAACTTATTTGAAATTGTAACAGGAGAAACATTGAGAGATTAAAAAAAATTCTGCCTACTTGTTGCCAACAATAAAACTTATTACTGTCTCAACAATGTGAAATACGTGTATATAAAACCATAAGGAAAACAGATAAACAAGATAAACCAAACTAACTAAGCACATCAGAAAACTAAGTATGATATATCCTATCAAACTTATGTTTTGAAGAAAAAGAAGGTCAAGATTAATGTACATAGACCCGTTGGGATCAGGGTTGTATTTGACGATGAAGGCAATACTCTTCCTCCGGTAGCCAGGATAGTTGACACACAGGAAGCTTTGCTGCTTGACCCAGGTATGTCCATTCTTTTCATCCGCAGACTGAAGCTCTAAATCATAGCAATAATAATTTTACATTGTGAAATTGTTACTTGTACATGTGTGAGGCTATTAATTAAAGCAGCTAGGACCTAAAATTCTCAATGCATAGAAGATGTAATATGCAACTTTCATGTTATGCTCTCTTCTTTCATAATTAGAGAAGGAAATGTGACAATGCTTGAGAAGGACATTGGAGTGTGCCAGACGCGCCTTGATTATTTAAGTAATAAAGATAGAGTGACAAACTGATTTAAAAAATATATTATATTTTTTTATAAAAAAATTGTATTTAAAAAAGTTTTGATCGTTATTTTTTTTTATTAAAACTGATTTAACCAAAAAATTTAACCAATTTTAAATTAAAAATATTTAATTTAAATTTTCCTGAGTCCATGTATTCGACAGTTTTTTTTTCTATAACTCCGGAGGACTACACTGATGATTATTATTTGTATCTCTTAGATATATGTAAAAAGAAAACAAGATCAATTTTGGAAAGAGATAATTGTCCCATGTTATCTAATAAGATCGAAAATGAGTTTCACCATCCAACACTTTTTAGGATATTAAAAAGTCCTAGCACGATTCATGACGATACATATGTTTCTGTGTTGCAGGTAAAGACGTGCATTAAGTTGTGAGATTTACACACTTACCTACACATAAATACATAATCATCAACATTTACAGTAATTCAACTATAACATTTATTTGTAGTACATCACACACACTGTATTGTAGCGTTAACAGCTACATTTATTTATCCCCATACATAATTATAAAATAGTCTTGAAATGCCTACACCACCCACACTGTGTGTAGCTTTAGCAGCTACATTTATTTATCCCCATACATAATTATAAAACAGTCTTCAATTACGTGCTCAAACATTCACCTTGGGCCAAGCTTCTAACCTGAAAAGACCATAAATACACGTTTAATAATCCCAACACACAACAAAACCATATGATATCTCAAATCTTTACCTGCCCAAGTGCTATGCTTAGAACCGAAGACAATCAAACGGCACCCTTGAGAAGCTTGAATTCCAACAACTCCTTGGAGTTTGAGAATTCCCACACTTTGGTTTCATAAACTTTTATAACATCACCATCTTTTGCTTCCAAAGTTATGAAGTAGTTGAACCCTTGGACAACCTGTTTCTTTGCATGGATCGCCCTCACAAACACCAGATTTGCAGGCTGCGTCATTCACAAAATCATGTATCCAAAATCAATCATCAAATAATAGTTCACCACTTAAATGAAGAAAAGGAAGAAGAATAAAAGAAAACCTCTTTTTTGTTGTGTTGTTCAACGGCAAAGCGAGCAACATTTTCTATTTCAACAGTGTTTGCAGGAACATCGAAAATTTGACCTGGTTTTGTTAATGATGTACCATAACCGGGGAGGATGTGGAATTCCAACAACTGCTTGGATTTCAAGAATTCCCACACCTTGGCTCCATACACTCTTGTGATCTCACCATCTTTTGCTTCCAAGGCTATGAAGTAGTTGAACCCTTGTACAACCTGTTTCTTTGCTTGGATTGCCCGCACAAACACCAGATTTGTATTCTGTGTCATTAAGAAAATCACGTACCTAAAATCAATCGTGGAATAATAATAGTTCACTACTGAAATGGAGAAAAGGAAGACAAATAAAACAAAACCTCTTTTTTATTGTATTGGTCAACGGCAAAGCGAGCAACATTTTCTATTTCGATGCTGTCGGCAGGAACATCAAAAATTTGACCTGTTTTTGTTAACGTTAAACCATTACTGACGAAGAGATGAAACTCCAACAACTCCTTACAGTTTGAGAATGCCCACACTTTTGTTTCATAAACTTGTATAATATCACCATCTTTTGCTTCCAAGGTTATGAAGTAATTGAACCCATGCACAACCTGCTTCTTTGCATGGATCGCCCTCACAAACACCAGATTTGCATGCTGTGTCATTCAAAAAATCACGTCCCGAAAATCAATCATGAAATAATTGTTCACTACTTAAATGAAGAAAAGGAAGAAGAATAAAAGTTAACCTTGTTTTTGTTGTATTGGTCAACAGCAAAGCGAGCAACATTTTCTATTTCGACAGTGTTGGCAGGAACATCAAAAATTTGACCCGTTTGTGTTGATGTTGTACCATTGTCGACGAGGATGTGGAATTCCAACAGCTGCTTGGAGTTCGAGAATTCCCAGACCTTGGTTTCATACTTTCTTTTGATCTCACCATCTTTTGCTTCCAAGGTTATGAAGTAGTTAAACCCTTGTACAACCTGTTTCTTTGCATGGATCGCCCTCACAAACACCAGATTTGCATGCTACGTCATTTCAAAAATAACAAACCAAAAATCAATCATGAAATAATAGTTCACAACTTAAATGAAGAAAAGGAAGAAGAATAAAAGAAAACCTCATCTTTGTTGTGTTGGTGAACAGCAAAGCGAGCAACATTTTCTATTTCGACGCTGTCGGCAGGAACATCGAAAATTTGACCTGTTTCGGTTGACGTTGTACCATTACTGATGAGGACATGAAATTCTAACAACTCCTTAGAATTCAAGAATTCCCACACTTTGGTCTCATAAACTTTTATAATATCACCATCTTTAGCTTCTAAAGTTATGAAGTAGTTGAACCCTTGGACAACCTGTTTCTTTGCATGGATCGCCCTTACAAACACTAGATTTGCATGCTGCGTCATTCAGAAAACCACGTACCGAAAATTAATCATGGAATAATAATTCACTCATTTAATGAAGAAAAGGAAGAAAAATAAAAGAAAACCTCATTTTTGTTGTATTGGTCAACAGCAAAGCGAGCAACATTTTCGATCTCAACGGTGTTCGCAGGAACATCAAAAATTTGACCTGTTTTTGTTAATGTTGTACCATAATCGAGGAGGATGTGGAATTTCAACAACTGCTTGGAGTTCATGAATTCCCACACCTTGGTTCCATACTTTCTTGTGATCTCGCCATCTTTTGCTTCCAAGGCTATGAAGTAGTTGAACCCTTGTACAACCTGTTTCTTTGCTTGGATTGCCCGCACAAACACCAGATTTGTATTCTGTGTCATTAAGAAAATCACGTACCTAAAATCAATCGTGGAATAATAATAGTTCACTACTGAAATGGAGAAAAGGAAGACAAATAAAACAAAACCTCTTTTTTATTGTATTGGTCAACGGCAAAGCGAGCAACATTTTCTATTTCGATGCTACCAGGAGGAACATCGAAAATTTGACCTGTTTTGGTTACTGTTGTACCATTATCGAGGAGGGCGTAGAATTCTAACAGATGCTTGGAGCTCAAGAATTCCCACACTTTGGTTACATACACGTTTTTACTGTCACCATCCTTTGCTTCCAAGGTTATGAAGTAGTTGAATCCTTGCACAACCTGTTTCTTTGCATGGATCGCCCTCACAAACACCAGATTTGCATTCTGTATCATTCAAAAAAATCACGTACCAAAAATCAATCATGGAATAATAATTCACTACTGAAATGAAGAAAAGAGAGAAGAAAAAAAGAAAACCTCATCTTTGTTGTATTGATCAACAGCAAAGCGAGCAACATTTTCTATTTCGATGCTGTCAGGAGGAACATCGAAAATTTGACCGGTTTCAGTGTTTGTTGTAGAATCAACAACGGGGTTGAATTCCAGCACCTCCTTGATGTTGGAGGAGAATACCCACACTTTGGTTTCATACACGAATAGGAGTCCACCCCTTCTTGCTTCCAAAGTGATAAAGTAGTTTATCCCTTTGACGACCTGTTGCTTTGCACTGATCACCCTCAGATATTGCAGAGTATCGTTCTGTGTTTCCAACTCCAATGTATTCATTACATGTAAAACAGACTCAAGAGTATATCAAAATGAATTAGACTTAAACTAAGAACCTGTTTATGGTTGTGGTCTTCAACAGCATAGCGAGCGAGATCTTGAATCTCGACGTTCTCGGAAGCCCCAGGCACATCAGTAATGCCACCGAATGTTGCCATTTCTCCTTTCTTTATCTTCTCTTCTTCACTCTCTTTTCTTCGCTGTGTCTTCTTCGCTCTCTCTTCTATCCTTTTTATACCCAAAAATTTACCGAACCTTATCTCATTTCAATGAATTTCCGGTGGTAGAAAAAAATATGAACCTATCTTGTGCAATATTTTATGTTTTTTTCGTATTCTTATTCGAAGCATGCTTCGTTCTGTCATTAAGAATACTCCATTTTCTCAGTTGTAGGTTGTCTTCTTTTGGATAGAATAAGGAGGAGAATTCACCCAATGTTTAGAACGTGTTTGGATGTTTAGGCCGACGAGATTTTGCATGGTTGTGTGAATAATATATTCTCTTTGTTTTATCACGTTTTATCATTTGTGAAGAATAGTGATCACAGTCGTTATTAGGTGCGGGAAAGATATTAAATGCTCCTTACACTCACTTTGTTACCTTGTAAGAGGCTATGTTAGTTCGTATAGGAGAAAGAAGAAGTTTTCTATATTAATGGAGAAAAGAAAAAATAATTACTATAATTTATATATTTTAAAAATAATAAAAATATAATAGGTAACTAATGAAGAAAAAAAATGCATTAAAAAATATATTAATTATATTAATAAAAATATTGATAAAGTATATTTATAATTGTTTTGAAGTATTTGTTTTACCATGTTTATCGATTTTTTATGGAGTTAGTAACCAAAGTTTCATGTTTTAGTGGTGCATCAAGATGTATTTCATACAAATCCATCCATCATATATACAAAAATAATATGCAATTTTGTAGAAGATACACTAAGATGAATATTTGAATGAAATGTTATTCTATCTTATATATTAGTATTTTAAATAAGTCTAAAATTTAGAATTACTGGTTTTTTTTATTCTAGATGATTGTCTTATTTAAATAACCAATTCTATTTAAATTATGTAACATATAAAATGTAAATTTATTATATTTTTAACTACAAACTTTAATTTTATTACTCAAACAAATATAATTTCTCCTATTTGCATTAAAAACATTACGGGAGGATTGTTACATTAACTATTTATAATTATTTATAGTAAATATATTGATTGTTACATGAACTATTTATTTATAATACTTTAATTTTACAATATAAAATTTATATTAATAATTAAACTCTTATAATTATAATTATTAAAATTTTAAGTTTGAATTTTGAATAAATTTATTTTAATTAATTACATTTTTTTAAATTAAGTGAAACTTGTTTTATTATTTATTTTTATTAATATTTTAATTTATTTATTTTTTCAAATAGTTGTCAAAGTTGAAAAAAATGTGACAATAAATATTTTAAATGGATAGATAATTTAAGAATAGAAATTTAAAAGAAAAAATTTGTAATATTTTTAATTATAGTTAAAATTTGATAAGATTTAAAAAAGTTTAATGATATCATTTGTAAAGAATTTAAATAAAAATTATAATTAAAAAATATATTTATTTAATTTTAAATATAAGAAACAAAATAACATAATTATATGTATATATTAAGTCGTAATTTTTTATTTGTAATAAATAACGCCTTATTCAATGAATTTGTAGTGGCAGAAAAAAACATGTTTTTTTGTCTTGAGCAATAATTTTATCTTTTTTACGTATTCTTACTGGGAGTATGTGGATACAACTCACCCAATGTTTACAACGTGTTTGGACGTTTAGGCCGACGAGATTTTGTGTGGTTGTATGTGTGAATATATAATCTATTTTTCTCTTTCTTTTTAAGCAATTTCCACATGCATTTTTTAAGCTTTACAAAATGTACCAAAATATTTTAATATCATCACGGTAATTCAAATAATTCAGAACAAAATAAAGTATATTAATAACAGTTATATATTAAATATATAATATTTATAATACTTATATTCATTACTGTTATTATTAACTATAAATATTAACAAGTTTTCAATTTGTATAAATACTGCAAAGACTTCACGGTTTGATTACTATTTGTATCTCTTTGATGTATGTAAGAGAATGCAACATTTTCATATTCAATATCGACGTTGCAAGTCATGGTCGTCACGTGCATTCATCTTGCTTTTGTCTTCTCCAATATATATTTTAACACGTTCGCGCTCACGAGATTTTGCATCTTCCTTTGTTTGTGTGAATAATAGTAAATATTAAATGCTATGTAAACAAATATTTACATGCAGAAAAGTAAGTTAAAACAAATATTTAAAGGACAATAAATTGAACTAAGGAATTACATAAAAAAATTATTAACTTTTCAATCACTCACTTTTTTTTAAAATTTTTTTATGATTATCATTAATGTCTACATCTCTTTATAATAATAAGTTAGATTCATAAATTTTTTATCTAACAATCTCAATTTATATTTATGGTAATGAATTATAAATTGTTAAAATCATTAACCATCCAATATAAATCATAAAAAATAGGTTTTAATTGATAAATTAACCTGATAGAAATGATTAGAGTGGTAATGCACAATGTAAAACTAGAAAGAAAAAAAAACCAAAAACAGAATGTGAGAAAATAGAAGAAGAATAACAAAAAAATAAAATAATTAAATAATAAAAATAAAGAAAAGAAAATAAATATCATTTAAAACATTATTAAATCAGTAAATTTCAAGAAACAATTCCTATAAGATCCATAATTTAGATTTGAGAAACTTAACTAAGAACACAGAAGGAAAGATAAAAAACTAGAAAAAAGAAAAACTAAATTGTATATCTAAAAGTTGTAAAAGTGAAACATAATTTATATCTTTTATTTGCTCAACAGCTCCTTTAGCCTGAACTAAATCTTTGGCCTGAATTCTCTTATATAATTCACTAGGAGAAATTCCTACGTGCTGAGTCAATTTTTTAATAATTTATTTATTTATTATTTAATTTATCAATTCTACATTAATAAATAATTAGTTAAAAGACAATAATTTAGATATTTTTCTTTTCATTAAATTTATGTTAATAATAAATTATTACTTAATTAAATATTTTAATTATATATTAATTATATTAATAAAAATATTGATAAAAATGTATTTATTAGTCACTGTACAATTTGGCAAGGTGGAACTTTTTTTTAAGGCATTTGCTTTATCATATTTATTCATTAAGTTTTTTTTTTTTATGTAGTTAATAACTAAAGTTTCATATTCTAGTGTTGCTTCAAGAGAGGCGTTGCATACAAATCTATCTACCATATATACAAAAATAATATGCAATTTTGAAGAAAATATACTAAGATTAGAGTAGGGTTTTGGATAAGTGTAAAATTTAGAACTACTATATCTTCATTTGTTGAACTTTTTATTCTAGATTATTGCCTTATTTTATCTTTGCTCTACCTCTATACAAATTATTTCTTTTATCATGTGTTTTTGCAATCATATATATTTTATTCGTCATGATTTTTTATTCGTATAATAAATCATATAATTCAACGTCACATTCAATGAATTTCTAGTGGTAGAAAAAAAATATGACCCTATCTTGTTTTTTTGTCTTGTGCAATATTTTATTCTTTTTATGTATTCTTATTCGGCGCATATGCTTCGTTATATCATTAAGAAGACTCTATTTTCTTAGCTTGTCTTTTTGGATAGACTAAGGAGGATTGAAAAACTTTACGTTTGTTTGTTTGTTGGGTACGTGGATACAATTCAGCCAATGTTTACAACGCGTTTGGACGTCTAGGCCCACGAGATTTTGTATTGTTGTCAAAATAATCAAGAATTATAAGTTTAGGATTGAAAAGTTTAATTATGGTTAAATCGATTGTACAGATGAGAAATTAATTTTATAATTGGTATTTTAGATAGATATAAATAATCGTATATTGAATCATTAGAAAATTATAAAAAAAGTTTTAAAATACTCGCAGACAACAAAAAATAAAGAATAACATATTTTTAGTAGAGAAATGATTTTATAGAAAAGTGTGAAATCGTTCATTATTGATGCATTCACTATCAAAATTGAATTTGTGACTTGTAGGTCACGTTTCATATTAATCGATTGTAAAATTTTATTTTAGGATTTGAATATCGATGATAATAATAATAATAATAATAATAATAATAATAATAATAATAATAATAATAATAATAATAATAATAATAATATTATTATTATTATTATTATTATTATTATTATTATTAATATTATTATTATTAATAAGTGGTTAAATATTTATTGAGATAATTTTTCATTTTTTCTTTAACAAGAAAGGTGGAGCAGAATTGGTCAAACAGTTTGAGTTGTTCAACACTTTTCTTTTGCCAACCTTTGTCACCTTTTGTGCCATGAAAATTGATCTTTCCGCGCACATTAGTTGCGAGCTAGCTCTCATGGTGATCTCCTTCGTTGTTGTTGTTGTGCATTTGATGAAGATGCTTCTCACTGTCGGAATCTGTCGCCATTGCAACATGCCCAAAACCGATGGTTTGTGCCTCGCTCTCATGTTGAGCTGCAAAGGAGTAGATTGATTACGTCACCGACGTCTTTCTCTTTGACCCACTGGTATGTGATTAATACTTTCTTCGCATTCAAACAGTAAGAATTGAATTGAAAGAGATGCGTTAACATTTTTATTTTCTTTTCACTTCACCTTTTCTACACAAATTAATTTCATGCATATTATATTTTTACCATCTAATTTTAGTCCCCATGCAATGCAGCTAATGAGCAATGCAACCGTCTCCATGATGGCTATATCGATATTGGTGTTAGCAAGCATTGGCCGCATTGGGGTGAAAGTGTTGGAAAACTTAAATTAATAGTTTTTATTCCTATAATAGTATTAATGATTTTAGGTACCAGTTTTATAATCAAGAAATATAGAGAAACAAACCTATTTAATAAGTATCATGATTTACTTTTTGACATTTGAAGAGACAAACAAATTGCCTATAAATACTTATAATAACTCATTTGAAATGGTAACAAGAAAACTATTGAGAGATTAAAAGAAAATAGAGTGCTGTCAACTTTTACTTTCTACCTACTTGTTACCAATAAATTGACATCAGAGCTTGTGTGTGAGGTGAGCGTGAGAGAACGTCACGGTTTGCGCTGATTGAGAAAGAGAGAGGAGCAACTCAGAGCTTTGTGAGGTGTTTGAGTTGAGTACAAACACTTGGGAGAAAATGACAAGTCTAGCCAATGACATCCCGCTACCCAAGTTGACGAAAGACACCAACTATGACAACTGGAAGGTACAAATGAAGACCCTTCTCGACTCCCAAGATAACTGGGATGTGATCGAGACTAGGTATGAGGAATCGACAAACACAGATGGGTATTCAAATGTCCAGCTGAACGCGTTGAAGGTCGTTCGAGCTAAAGACAAGGCATCTCTGTATTTGCTATACCGAGCTGTCGATGAATCCAACTTTGAGAAGATAGCCAATGCAGAATCTTCCAAAGTAGCATGAAATACACTTGAAAAAGCAAATAAAGGAGATGAACGAGTGAAACAAGTTCGACTTCAAGTCCTTAGGGGCTAGTTGGAAAACATGAGGATGAAAGAGTATGAAAGCGTATCAGAGTTCATTACTCAGGTGGAACCATGGTGAACAAGTTGAATCAGAATGGTGATAGTCTTTTATCAAAGAGTTGTTGAAAAGATTTTGAGGTCATTGACAAATGATTTCAAGAATATCGTGTGCGTAATAGAGGAGTCCAATGATTTATCAACTCTCACTCTTGAAGAGTTTGTTGGGTCCCTGGAAACACATGAGCAGAGAAGAAAAAATAAGAAGGGGGAGTCCCTTGAACAGACTCTCCAAGCGAAGACGACAATAAAAGAGGAGAAAATGCTCTATACTCAGAGTACCAGAGGTCGAGGAAAAGGCAGAGGCCAAGGTAGTAAAGAAAGAGGAGGATGAGGAAATGAGCAAGTCGACCAACAAAACTAGTGTGGCCAAGGTCAGACTCGGGGTGGCCGACAAACAAAAAATATTGAATATTATAACTGTGGGAAGAATGAGCATGTTGCCAAGGATTGTTACTTGGTAAAATGCCACAACTGTGGAAAGAATGAGCATGTTGTCAATGACTGTTACTCGGTAAAATGCTACAACTGTGGAAAGCTGGGTCATATTTCCAAAGATTGTAGGTCCGAGAAGAAAAAGGAGGAACCAACAAACTTCCTTGCAGAGGAAAAGGATGAAGGGTTGCTGCTGGTGACAAACATTTCAGAAATTGATGTCAAATCGGGCTGTTCTAATAACTCAATTTGGCACTTGGACACCAGTGCAAGTAACCACATGTGTGGTGATGAACGCTTATTTAAAATACTTTCAATGGTGGAGTCCAGATTTATTTTTTTTTCGACAATGCTTCGAAAATAACTGTCAAAGGTCGATGAACGATTTGGTATCAATAGAGAAATTGGCGAACCAGAGAGATCAGAGATGTATACTACGTACCTGATCTCAAAAGCAACATACTGAGCATGTGACAATTAATAGAGAAGGGGTACTCGGTTCTAATGAAGGACCGATAACTACAACTAAAGGATAAACTCGGGAGGCTTATTGCTCTGGTAGAAATGAAAAAAAAAATCGCATGTACAAAATTGAATTAAAAATAGTTCAAGATAAATACATGCAACTTGATATGGAGGATGAGGTTATGAAGTGACATTTTCGGTTCGGTCATATTCACTTCGATGGGTTGACTAAGCTAGTGAAAAAGGAGATGGTGCTCATACTGCCTAAAATGGAATTCGAAAAAAGGTTCTGTGAAGAATCTGTGATCGGGAAACAAACAAGGACTTCTTTCCCAAGGAGTTCTGAGTGTCGAGCAAAGGAGCAACTCGGACTGATCCATACTGATTTGTGTGGGCCAATAACTCTAGAATCTTTCAGTGATAAGAGATACTTCGTCTCTTTCATTGATGATTTCTCCAGGAAGACATGAGTTTATTTTCTGAAGGAGAAGTCAGAAATGTTTGAAACTTTCAAGAAATTCAAAGTGATGGTGGAGAAAGAAACAATCAAAGTCATCAAAGAAGTCCGATCTGACAGAGGAGACGAGTTTGCTTTTGTTGAGTTTAACAAATACCTGTGAGGAACATGGGATTAAGCGTTTCTTGACTGCCCCGTATTCTCTGTAGCAAAATAGTGTAGCAAAATGAAAGAACCAAACCATTCTTGATATGGTTCAATCTATGTTGAAAGGGAAGAATATGCCGAAGAATTTTTGGGCAGAGGCGGTGCAATGCACAATCTATGTGCAAAATAGATGTCCACATGCAAAGCTAGGCGAAAAGACACTTCAAGAGATCTGGAGTGGTATGAAGCTGAGTGTCTCTCATCTGAAGGTGTTTGGTAGCATGACCTATGGACAAGTACCAAGTCAGCACAAGACTAAATTAGAAGATCGGAGCAAGAAGTACATATTTATCGAGTATGATGGAAAATCTAAAGCGTATAAGTTGTTTGATCCTTTTAATAATAAAGTGGTGGTAAACCGAGATGTTCACGTGGAGGAAACAAAATAGTGGTGCTGGAATAACCCGGGTAAAGAATAAACTAGCTCAGAAATTGTTGTGCCTTTAATAACAACAACCAACGAGTCCTCAAATGAAGAAATATAGCCACAACAGCCCAGGATGAGAAGTCTGCAGGAGATATACGATACCACAGATGAAGTTCATGTTGTGTGTCTTCTGGCTGACTCTGAAGGCTTGAGTTTTGAGAAAACTATCCAAGATGAGAAGTGGAGAACAACCATGGATGAGGAGATTGGGGCGATTGAACGCAACAAAATTTGGGAACTGACCGACCTTCCTGAAGGAGCTCAACCCGTTGGAGTAAAATGGATGTACAAAAAGAAGATGAATGTTGAGGGAGAGGTTAAACGTTACAAGGCTCGACTTGTGGTGAAGGGCTATAGACAAAAGGAGGGAATTGACTATGATGAAGTATTTGCTCCTGTCATGATAATGGAGTCAATCCGACTTCTGACATCATTAGTTGCTCAGAACCAATGGCCGATTCTACAGATGGATGTGAAGTAGGCCTTTCTAAATGGAGTGCTGAAGGAGGAGGTGTACGTCGAACAATCACTCGGGTACATGAAGAGAGGGGATGAGAAGAAGTTGTTGAGATTGAGAAAAACCCTCTACGGGCTGAAGCAGGTTCCTCGTGCCTGGAATGAGAGAATTGACGGGTATTTCAAGAAAAATGGGTATGAGCAATGTCCATACGAGCATGTCTTGTACACAAAGAAATAAAAAAAAGGACATGATAGTAGTTGCTCTCTATGTCGACGACCTCATATTCACTGGAAGCAACACAAAGCTGATTAAGGAGTTTAAGGAGGTAATGAAGAAAGAGTTCGGAATGACAGACTTAGGCCTGATGAAATATTTTCTTGGCCTAGAAGTGAAGTAGCTGGAGGAAGGGATTTTTATATCCCAAGAGAGGTAGGCGCTTGAAATTTTAGAGAAGTTTAAAATGGAGGACTATAACCCAGTTTCTACTCCAATGGAACCAGACACTAAACTCTCAAAATTTGATAGAGGAGAACGAGTTGATTCTGGGAGATATCGAAGCTTAATTAGAAGTCTGAGGTACCTTACAAGTACGAGACCTGATCTATTGCTAAGTGTTGAGATAACAAGCAGATACATGGAGAATCCAAGCTACACACATTGGAAGACCTTAAGAGAATTCTGAGATATGTTCGAGGAACCCTATCACTTGGTCTTTTCTATTTAAAGTCGGATGACTACCGACTAGTGGATTACTCGGATAGTGATTGATGTGGTGATGTTGATGACTGAAAAAGTACTTCAGGTTATGTATTCCTACTCGGGAAAACAACTTTTACTTGATTGTTAAAGAAGCAATCCATTGTAACTTTGTCAACCTGTGAGACAGAGTATGTGACGACCTCTTGGAGTGTGTGTCATGCAGTCTGACTTTCAAATCTACTAAGGCATCTGAGAGTGATTCGAGATGAAGGGACTGTAATCTAAGTTGATAACAAATCGGCAATCGAGTTGACAAAGAACCTAGTTAATCACGGAAGGAGGAAACACATCGATATCCGATTTCTTTTCATCCAAGAACAAATCAGAGAAGGAAAGGTCGAGTTGGAACATATTGAAAGTCGAGCTCAAGCAGCGAACATATTCACCAAGTCACTGCCAACCACACAGCTGGAGAGTTGTAAAAGGTTGATTCGATTAAAAGATGGGAAGAATATTTAAGTTTAAGAGGAAGATTTGTTGTAAAACTTAAATTAGTCATTTGATATTTCTAGAATAGTATATTGATGATTTTAGATACGAGTTATATAATCAAGAAATATGGGGACAAACTTATTTAATAGGTATGATGATTTATTTTTGGTATTTGAAGAGGTAAACAATTTGCCCATCAATACTTGTAAAAATTTATTTGAAGTGGTAACAAGAGAAACATTGAGAGATAAAAAAAAAAAAAAATGACGTGAACTTTTACTTTCTGCCTAATTATCCAACAGAAAGCTCTCCAGAAAATACGCACGCTATCAGAAAAGAAACATACTCAACTTGAAACCCAACGCAGAGCTTCGGGTGGTGGCATGCATCCACAAACCAAGCCACATAACTTCCATAAAAAACGCTCTTGACATCTGTTGACCCGCACCAAACAACCCCTTACTGGCTCACGTCTTGCATCTCATAGTCCGTAGATCCTCTCCCATCTTCATCTCACACCGTGTCCAAGAAAGGGTCGACTCAAACCACAACTACTCCGAAGATGTCATTGTAGCATTCGACCTCTTCGAACATGACAATGCGGGAATCGCATTAGTTAACACCGACACAGCCATATCTCCCTTCCGTTTCATGCATGATGATATTTGTTACCTTGCGTTGGACAAACTCGCTTCCATTATCATTCTTCCATTTCACGTGAGATGGGGTGAGGATGGTTCCATCGAATCAACAGATAAAAACATAAGAACTCTCAACTCTAGGGTTCTCGAAAGGGCACCATGCTCCGTGGGGATTCTTGTGAGTCGAGGCTCTTCTTCTTCTTCTACTCACAACAACAATGATAACTCAATAAAGCGAATAGCAATGATCTTTTTGGGGGGTTTGGATGACAGAGAGGCATTGTGCTTGGCTAAGAGGGCCATCAAAGATTGTGCTTGCAACTTGGTTGTGTACCACTTGGTCTCGGGCCCTGGTGAGGCCAACTGGGACCTGATGCTTGATGATGACGTGCTCAAGAGTGTTAAAGGGTTATATGGTCACATTCAGAATGTGTCGTATGAAAAAGTTACCATAGAGGAACCTTCTCAGACCAGCACTTTTGTGTCAGATATTGCAAATCAACATGATTTCTTTATAGTTGGGAGACGTAATGGGATCAAATCACCTCAGACAGAAGCACTTGAAAGATGGACAGAGTTTTATGAGTTGGGTGTGATTGGAGATTTGCTTGCTTCCTCGGATACCATTACCAAAGCTTCAATTTTAGTAGTCCAATACCAACAAATGATCAAGCCTGACCAGACATTTATACATTGTGATCAAAAGGTTGATTGGTGGTTTTTTCGTAGACAACAATATGATGTAGCTCCAATTTTCTATCAGCAAATCAAATTTTCCGTACATTGCTTCTGTTCATACTGACTTGTTTTAATAAATGGTTAATATATATGACCGATAGATGAAAAATTCCATGGGTGATTTATTTTAAAAACAAAATATAATAAATTGTTTTTTGAAGTATCTATTGCACGTTATTATACATATAATAATAACAACATTTAACTTAAATGACAATCTAAAAATCATATACATAATTAATGTATGTATTATATATACACAATTTTTACCTTTATTAATAAACTTATTATATTATAAAAATATTATTTTATTAAATTCGGTGGAATCCTAAAATATTTAAATTTTGAACCATGGTTGAAACATCAAACTTCTCAAAATCCAATTACTTTTTTCTTTTTACAAAATGCGTGTTTTGATATTAATACTTTGAAGGATGCTTTAAAAAATGTTTGAGGAGTGAATCTTCTTGTTTATAATTTTGATATTTATGAAGTGGTAAAAATATTAAATCGAGGCTAGTTATTATTAGATCACGAATTTGCTATTATATTCATCATACTTATTTGTTCTATTTATAAGGTTGGGTATAAGGTTGGTTAAGTGACGAAAATAATTATTTAGATATTTCGTAACCTTTGGCCTCAACTATTAAATACCGTGTGAGAAAGTTGTGTTTAGATGTCAATATTTTAAATCGATTGACATACAAGCAAACGTTAAAGACGACTTCAAACAAAGGATTGGGAGGAGATAAAACTGAGTTAGTTTGGACAAAGCAAAAGAGGGTTGAGAATGTCAGAGATGAATCTGTCGTCCAAAGAAGAGTGGCATCCTGAAGAGAAGTTTGAAGAGGAAAGAGAGTGGCACATGAATCTCTCATTTGTTCTCATTTCTATGATGGACAAACAAAATAATAATGAAGAAAATCCAAGATAATTAAGTGTTACAACTTTTAACTTTGCTCTACCAACCAGAGTCTAACATATCAAGCCACGAATGTCAATCTTAATACTGTTTTTGTTTATTCAACTATTCATTTATTTGTTTGACATATACATTTTACATGTTTATTATATTCTTTTAATCGTTTATATTATTATTATTTAATTATTAAGATTTGCCAAATTATATATGTTTGCTTTCTTATATATTCCTTCATCCTGTACTATGAATTGATATATATATATGTTTGTTCATTGTATTTTGTTGATTGTAAGATTGTATATTGTTATTATTATTAGTATTCTTAATCCAATTATTACTCATAATTTTTTAATATACATTAGTTGTGGTGATAATACAAAACTATTTCCACTCTAATTTTTTTTTCAAATATTTGGTCTTCATTGTTTCATTCTTCTATATATTGTATACCAATTTTTATTAACTTGTATGATAGATTTAGGCACTAAAACAACAAAGCTGAACACTATGTGTTTGAAGACTAACGAGTAAGATTTATTATTATCTTAGGTTTATTGATAACTTCATTTTATTTTCCTGAAACATGTCTAACAAAATTTGGCCTTCTCACAGATTATTTTAGAGTTAGACTATTTTATTTTAAAAAATTAGGTTGATGAACTAAATATATATTATTCATAAAGAAAGTTTTGTGTGGGATCATGGGTTTGGGAAGAGTTATATCAACGAAACCCATCATGATATTGGATTCAAAGGCGACAGCAACCGCATGTCTTCAAGATCTAAAGTTGTCACCGGTTAGGGATAGACACAAGACTTTGATTGGGATGATCTGCATGATGGATGAAGAGAGAGGGTCATGTGAGTCTAACTGAGTTGAAGAAACAAAGTCTGAATTAGTAACAATAGCCATGATGATCCACAGAATATAAAGAAGAAGAGAAACAAGAGACGGAAGGAGTTATAAAACTGATACCATATCAAAATTGGCAAAGTGCAGAAAAACGAAAGAAAAACAAAGAGAACAAAAACAACTAATAAAACTTATTATTATCTCAACAATGTGAAATACGCGTGTATATAAAACGATAAGGAAAACAGACAAACTCATGTTTTGAAGAAAAAGAAGCTCAAGATTAATGTACATAGACCCGTTAATTAGAGAAGGAAATGTGACAAGACAATGTTAGAGAAGGACATACGAGTGTGCCAGACGCGCCTTGATTATTTAAGTAATAAAGATAGAGTGACAAACGCCCTCTCACAGAGTCGCAGATAATTTATTTAGAGAGAAAGCTACGACACCCGCTACATACCCCTTCACTGGTAATCTCTTTAAAGCTTTGTGCAACAAGAGAATCAAAGACCTTTTCCAGAGAAGATGAATATTATCTTAAGTCACACACTAATGACACCCAATGTTAAAGCAATACAAGAGTCTAAGATTTCCATCATTGTTTTCTCCCAAGAACATGCCTCCTCCCCAAGATATCTCGATGAACTTGTGACCATCCTTGAGTCTAAGATGATGAACAACCGGCCACTCTCTTCGATTGGTGCATCATATGTCACTTTCACCATGAATATCTAAAATAATTACAATAATACGCAATTTCAGTGCTTGTTTCATATCATTGGTATGCTATGGCGGATGAAGGGGCACTGACACGGGCACCGAGGAACCCAAGCGTCGCTACGATGTTTTTCTGTACGCTTCAGAGGGAATGACACGCGCTGCACCTTCACAGGTAATTCTATGAAAGCCGTTTGAGGGAAAGAATATTATTTCCATGGTAATTATAATATGTTTTCTTTTGACATATGCTGTTATTCTTCTATATCTATTTATACTTGAAAAATGATACTTTGACGAGAAAAGTTAAATTTGTTTCAGCTCTCTTGTTATATTGGATGCGAAGTTATTATTTTATTGCAGAATAAATGTCTTGCATAGTCAATATTTGGATACCTTTGTGGACTTCTTGTTAACTCATTATATTTTAATAATGACAGTTTATGGCTAGTAAAGAAAATTTTGTGTATTTCTGATGCTATAATATTATTTTCTGTAACTACGTTTGTATACAACCTCATGTAGTGTAGGGTCTATGTATCGACATGGTAAAATGAGAGCAGTTTAATGACTAACTGATTACCAGAAAAATCCGACCATTCAAGTTGAGAGGAGACTCTGAAGGACCAAAGGTGCAGCGTATCTTTTCTCCATCCCTTTGTCAAGTTGTACACGTCCTTCTTCAAGCACATCTTGTACTCTTTTAGACCAGATCCAAGACCCTCACCCATACGCCACCAAGCCTCTTGCTTTCTCGCATGCGTTCACTAGTGCAAAAAGGGGTTTTTACGTCAAGTATTTAGGGCTTTTTATGTCGTATTTAATATTATTTTCAAAATTTAAATACAAACAATAATTATGGTATTCACTTATATAAATAAGTTTCTAACCTTAGGATAAATGAACTCAGAAAGTCTTTGTTCTAGGTTTTCCACTTAGAACATTAGTTCCAGAAACGATTCTAAGTGAAAAAAGTCATATATTATTCAATATGTATTCACAATTTAAAAATATAATTAATGAATAAAAGATAAAGTTACCCTTGTAATAAGCTTTTCATTTCTTGACTCGGTTTCAGATGTAATGAACAAAACCACACCACGAGTGTAATCCCGGGGCATGATTTCAATTAACTGCCAATGTGACCTACATTGTATGACATAAAAATTAGTTACAAAAATATAAATTAAAATACAAATTAAAATACTAACCCTTCAATGTATGGAGCCAAATATATATGTCTTTTTGAGTCACTCATCCATGTTTGCATATATTGTTGGATTCCAACCTTTGTATTTCCAGATTTTTGGATGGATTAAGGCTCAAGAAATCCGTATACTTCAGATTTTTCTTGTTCCACACTCAATTTGTCAAGGTACCTAAAACAATTAATTATAAGTTGAATATAATTATTATAATCTTAGAACATAAATGAGAATGATGACTTACATTGCCCACAATTGTATGATGGAAATGTTTAACATGCAATTTCCCCAAGCAATTTCTAAAGCATCGGGCAAGGAAATGTATAATGGAACACTGGAATTGTCAATTCCAAACACTCTAACATCCCATTGTATCCGACACCGGTCTCTTCCTCAACCGTGGTAATATGGTCAACAACATAGAGATGGGATCATCATCACATTCATCAGATCCTCATCAATAATAGGTTGTTTTTTATGCTTAGCATGACGCAAGTCCTCCTAAACAAATGATAACAATTAATTAAACATTTATATAATTATAATACTAGAAAAGAGAAAATAGACAATATATATATATATATATATATATATATATATATATATATATATATATACCTTGGTCTCGTGCTGATAGTGGCATAACTAAACGTCTTGGCCAAGCCAAGAATGTCCCGCTTGCCTGCCCCACTAATTGAATCTCTTCATTAGGAAAAGGCACTTGGAGCATTAGCATCATGAACTTCATCAACTACTACTCGTGTCCGAGTCTGCTCGTAGAGGGACACCATGGATGGTTAAGCCACCCTCAAAAACTCGACCAATAGCCACTAGATGCGGGGGTCATCTTCAACATATAACTCACACCTGGTGTGATGCATCGATATGAGTATATTCTCCTCGAAGGATCAGCAGCGAGTAACAACACAACTCCCTTTAGTGCTGACTCGAACAACATCATGTTCAATTGTTTGAGGTGTTCCTTGAGTCTGTTGCTGAGAGCGGGCGAGAGATTTAATTTTCTCATCAAACTCTTACTACAAGGACTACCTTATTTGATTTAATTTTTCTTCAAACTGCATCTCCATTTTATGCAAGGCCTCCTGGCTGCAAGAGTCAGCAGTGGTCCTTCGTGATGTTGGACCAAAGTAATCACGAAGGCCCCGGGTTCCACCAGCACCACGCACACGTCCCGAGTAATCTGGTTTTCCTATGGTCGTCGCCAATATATCTTGTCGACCATGAGGAATAAATGATCTTTGGCTGGTCTGCTCAACTAAATCATCCTACAACACATTAACAATAATTAAGTCATACACTAACTTTCACATTAGAATCAATTCAAATTGACATTATAACTT